ACAAAGCATTTTGAAGCATAAACCTTGTGCCCTTAGTAGATTATTCCCATTAGGGTTTAGATTAGGACAAGGTTTTACATAATGATTATCATGTTGTAACTTGTAAGGTTAAAATGTTAGATGCTTTCTCCTTCTGATGTTTACTTCTCGTGGATAATCTTTATTAGAAACGTTGAGTTTGGTTCGGACATTGTTTTCGAATCATTGCAAGTTTGCTTTCCTTCTTATGATTGAATTGTGAGATCATAGTGTGAATCTGTTTTCTATGTTAAACTCAATATATTCGAAATAGCGAGCGAGCTCTTCGCATTTAAAGACATGCTGTTCCTGGCTCACTTTATTTCTAATGATTTGAAGGTTTGTTACCATTGGCACCACTTGTTTCACAAGGTTCAATTAGCTCGTTTGTTCATTGGTTGGTAACATAAAAAGCCTATATTTTGTTTATGAACTTTTGGAGCAATATTGGTTTGTGTTAAACCATGATCTACTCTGGAGAGTTGAAAATTTTGTCATAATAGCAACATATAACGTTCAAAATATTAAAATTTTTAATTTGTTTGAGAGTTTAATTTAGAATGTTTAGCTGTATGAAAATGAAATAGATATTTTAATACATTACTGTTAAGAATTTTACATTAAAAAATAGAGTTGAAAATTTGATTGATTGATATAATCTAATTGAGCGATTGTAAAATATTATGGAGTAAGAAATTTTAAATTTCTAAATTTTAGATACAATTGTTATAAGATATAGATATTTAGTATTAAATTATCAACTTTTAAATATTATTATCAACAATATATTAAATGTTTAAGTTTTTATTTTTATTTTATTTTATATATATATAAAAACATTTATACTTGACCAGATTGCCCGAATGAGGTCATAAGTCATAACATGAGTGCCCAATCAAATGTGTGTGTTTGGATCCCTAACTTTCAAACTATTAATTATTTTGTGCTTGGTTCAAGTTGTATAAGATAATCAATATTATATTTGAGGAATATAAGGTTCTTATGTTTGATTCAAGTTTGTAATTTTCTCGGAGTAACATAATCTCCACTTATGATTTTTGACTATTGCAAAAGAATGTAAGATATCCTCTCTTTTTAAAGTATTTTTACATTCTATTGTCTTATTACTAATTTTGTAATTTTAATCCATTTGCCTTTGTTAATTATTATTCAAGCTCTTAGTTAATTAATTTTAAATCATTTACTTCTATATTTTACTATTACTTTATTTATTTATTTTAAAATTCAACCAAACAAATGTATAATACATATCTCAATTTTAAACCACATATAGGAATCTAACATTTTTTAAGTAATATAACATTCTCTGTGAACCAAGTTATATAAGGTAATTAAGGTTATATTTACGAAATTTTTTACTGTGGACAATAGTCCACACAGCTGTGTGGACCATGGTCCAAAAAAGAACGACATTATAATTAGTTTTGTTTGTATAACATATTCAATATCATTTTATATACATTGTAGTTTAATTTCAGCACAATTAAAGTTTTAGTTTGTTTCAACTATAGTTTCATTTGACACTATACATACAATGATCTTATTACAGTGAGAGCTGTTATTGAATTTCATTTATACACACTGTAGTCTTATTACAATACTAATAAATTATAGTTATAAGTAAACTATGGCTTCATTGAATAATATACACTCAAATATACAATAGTTTCATTTGACAATATACACTAAGTATGTGAGACATGTTATTCAATTTCTTCATTTTATATATACTGTAATTTCATTTCAACACAACTAAAGTATCATTTCAATTCAATTACAGTTTCATTTTGATAATATAAACACAATATGTGAGACAAATTATTCAATTTCATTTTGTTTTAAACACACAAAAAATACGAGATTTGTTAATTAAAATTTAACGGGTGCCGTTTTTTTTTTATTTAAAGAAACGATGCAGTTTTCGAACCATGGTCCACCGTATACCGATTGTATATTTACTAGGCAATAGAAGATTCTCATTTTTGGTTCATATTATTTAATTTTTCAAGGGAATGCAATTTAACCTTTACATAAAATTTTAGCTATTTGAAGAGAATATGAGATATACTCCATATCCTTAAGTATTCTCACAATTCCTCGTCTTTTTACTAATTTTGCCATTTCTCAAGTACAACCTCTTAATTAATTATTTTTAATTCATTTAGTTTTATATTTTATCATTGTATTGTTTATTTGTTTATTTATTTTATTTATGAAATTTATTGAAATACATAAAAATGTGTTAAGAGTATTAAAGTAAAAATAGCAATTATAACATAAAACACAACTCTTCAACCAAAATACGTTTATATTTCATATATCAATTTTAACCAAAACAAAAATCTAACACGTAATCTAACATTCACAATAATATAATATTCTCTAAGGTAATCTAACATTATGTGAATCAAACGCCAAGGCTTGCACCCAGTCCCACTTGTACCCACCTCATCCTGTTAATTTTCAATGATGCATACTAGTTCATTTAGAAAGTCGTTATAATATCTCCAACAAGAAAGAATGTTATTTGAAAGTCGATTATCTCCCTTAGAATTCGAGATGTTGAAGTAGTGTTGACGCTTCTTTACAAGTGTGTCATGGAAGCAGCTTGGACAGAATTATCCGACAAACTACAGTTATCCCTGATATCAGTATGTAGTTGTTAACTTAAAGTTTTCAAGATTCCTGACCATTTCACATGAGACTTTTGATCAATTATTGATTGTATTTACTTTTAATGTACAAGTAAACACAATATCTATATTCATTTTCTTTTATTATTTATTTCTCTAAAAAAAGAAATTAAATAAATAATTAATTAATTTTTTTTTTGAAAAAAAATAAATAATTAATTATTCATTTAGATATGCACACTCTTCTTCTCTATCATACGGGACATTCTACCTCAATAATCTATGCCTACCTAATTAACTTAATGGCACATGTTTCCTGATCAACAAAGTATGTATAACTCAGTTAATATCCAATTTAGCCATTGATTATTGTTGTGTTTTTCGATTTAGTCATAAACATCATTTCGTGTTTAATTGGATTATGAATTTTGATGATTTTGCTTAATTGAATTCTCTATTAAGATAGTTTAATTTGGTAATTTCTCCTCTATTGATACCAAATTTACTCATTGACTATAGTGTTTTATCCAATTTAGTCATCGGCTATAGTGATTTTACCTAATTCAATCATCGATTATATTGATTTTTACCTAATTTAGAGATCTATTACTATAGTGGTTTTACTCAATTTAGTTATTGATTCTAACAGTCGAGGACTCAATTAGGTAAAACTATCAAATCCCATGAGTCCATGGCCTAATTAAGCACAAAAGAACGTTTAAGACTAAATCGAGAAAAACACTACAATCAAAGACTAAATTGAATATTAATTCGTATAACTCATCATCACTTATAGTAATAATCATAATCATTATTAAAAATAAATTAGGGAAAAAAACCCTTAAACATTGATATATATCCGTCCGAAGTAGTGCAAATAGTAGTGTATGTACCCTAGAGATGAAATGAAGAAAAATGGACTTTGATCTTTCTTTTACCCTTGTGTCTTGCCGAAGATTAACAACCAAAACGGCATACAAATGCGTAGAATATAATCTTACGAAAACTAAATAAAGGAATACTCGGTATAATGAAAAGGTAGGGCATAATTTAAGGGCTAAAACGGAAGAAGGCCATGATTTCTCATGCTTGTTAGTTTCATTCAAACGAGGATAACACTGCTTCTTCGTAACCTCTAACACCAAAAAGTGTCTCACTCTTAGTTGGAAATTTGGCATTTCAGCTCCACATAGCATGAGTTCATGTCAGCTTTTCAGTTGCCATTAATTTTACTTTTTTAGTTTTACCATATAAAAATTTCTTAATTATAATCACATGATACATGTCTCGAGACACTAAGATGATAATTCATGGCACACTATGATTGGTCATTTATTTATACATGCAATAATTAATCATATTTTTTACTATATTCAAACACACCAGTATAGTTTGGATGGAATTTGAAATTTAAGTCAATAGAGTATATGCATTAAATTTTATTTTCACTTCATATAAGATTGTCTCAATTTGCTTACTATATTAACTAGTGTGCATACGATCCAAGATTGTATTAATATTAACAATGATGAATGACATCCTTAACTTTACGTTGTAGAAGAACAAATACTTGAATGATGTTGGTTGGTGCTAATTAACTATGCATGAACACCTTTCTTACTATCTTTGTTTGTTTTTTTTTTTTTTTTTTTTTTTTTTTAAACACTTTTGCTAGCAATATTTTGTGTATTTTTTGGATCCCATTGATGTTTTTTGCCATATATTGTGGTCAAGTGATGTCAGTCTTACTTTAGTGTCAATAAATTATGTATAAACACCTTTGTTACAGTTTTTTTTTTTTTTTTTTTTTTTTTTTTTTTTTTTTTTTTTTTTTGGAAAATCAGTATACTCAGAGCATCTCATATGACATTGTACAAGTAAATACATATTCTTTGTTTTTCTTTATCCAATTTTTCACAAAAATAAAGGATTTATCTTGTTATTAATACCCTTTTTATCATCACATATTTATTTTTCAACTCCTTGAATCTGAATGATATTATGCTAAGTATATAGTATATACATAACGAACCCATGTGTAAGCAAACTATTTCCATGTGATTGAGCATAAAGGAAAATGTGATCTTCCTCCCTTCTTCTCCTAAACACGGCTTATTGAATCATTGAATTAAATCCGTGCAAGCTGCGTGATCCTCCTCCCTATGTATATATATATGTATGCCACTAGTTTCAATTCCTTACTAATTAGCATACATGTATACTTCACAAGCTAGAATGAGCAACTCCAGTCGTCATGCAATATAATTATTCAACATATATAGTTTATAATTTTGTTTTTGTTAAATTTAACCGACGTTATTGAATATAATGCCGGCAGGTGGAACCAACGCCAACATGAATGACAACACGGCGGCGGCCACTCAGCAACGGAGGCGTGCGCCGCAAAATGACATCCCTTTGTCGAGCATCCTCAAAATCATGCGCAGGGCTATCCATGGAAACATGCGGATCGCCGACGATGCCAAGGAGACGGTCCAGAAATGCGTGACGGAGTTCATCCACTACGTCACCGCCAAGGCCAACGAGCGTTCCCGGCTGGAGAAGCGCAAGACGGTCACCGCCGACGATCTCCTCTGGGCGATGCGTGCCCTCGGCCTGGGAAACTACGCCGAGGTGCTCACTGACTTCATAATCGGCTACCGTGAGCAGCAGGAGTACGGCCGCGCGGCCACCCACCATGTACCGAGCTACGCGGTGCCGGAGTTTTCTCCCGGTCCAATGAACGACGCTGGTGGATCCGCTTCCTCTTCTTTTCCCTACCGCGGTGACTATATTATTGATCCCTCATATCCCCCCAACTTCAACGGTTAAGCTACCATTTCTATCCATGCATGCATTGCATGGTGATGATGATGAAGAATATATATACTAGTATATATTGTGTGTGCTTGTTTTCCTATGTCATATGATGATTTCCCAATCCTATGAAACTTCAATAATTTGTTGTTGTATTTGAATTGGTTGTTTGTTAGTAATGTTTTGATTTGTGTTTTTGTTTTTATTTAATTAAATAAAAACATTTCGTTAATATCAATGTCCAATCATTTCCAATCCAATGTTTGGATCTTCTTCCATTCTCCCAATCAAATAATGCTTAGATCTCTGATCTATATATGGAATGGTACGGTTGTTGCTTATAAAACATTTTTAATTTGGTCAAGCATTTATTATCATATCCCTATAATTTGACAATAATTATAATTAGTAGCAAATTAAAGACCTAATTTTTTATTTTTTATTTTTATAATTGTATATATTTCGATTGCAGAATACTGAAGTAATCAACATTTCCTAATGTAATATAACATTTCGTGAATCAAACGCCACTAAAAGGTGTTTGGTTTAAGTTATATAAGGTAACTAAGGTTATAGTTACGGCAAATTTTACTATGGCCCATGGTCTACACAATTAAATTTATTCAATATACACACAAATATATTACACACTACAAGAAAAATCACGATTTGTGACGGAAAAATTCCGTCGCGAAAACGCAAAATTCCGTCACAAATTGCAATTTGCGACAAAATTTTTCATTTTCGCGACGGAATCCATTCCGTAGTCTCAAGGCTTGTCGTATTTCATTTCATGATGGAAATAATCTGTCGCGAACGATGGCGACGGAAAATGGTGACGGAATTTTCCGTCGCAAAGTAGGTGACGGAAATCATTCCGTCGCGAGTCCGACGCGGTTTTGGCAACGGAAATGCTTCTTTCAGTCGCCATCGCAAGGAAAAATATTCTGTCGCAAAACTCATATTCCGTTGCATATTTCAGTCGTGAAATATAACGACGGAAATAATTATTGTCGTGATTCTGTCGCTAACCTTTCCGTTGCAAATTTTGTATTCCGTCATAAAATTCCGTCGTAAAATAACAACGAAACAAATTGTCATCACAATTTTGTCGCTAACTTTTTCGTTGCAAATTTTCTCTTCCGTCGCAAAATTTTGTCGTAATAAAACGACGGAACAAATTTCCGTAGTGATTCCATCGCAAGACATTCCATTGCAAAGTTTGTTTTCCGTCACAAAATTTCATCGTAAAAAGATAACGGAACTACCTACTGTCGTGATTTTGTCGCGTTTCGGGCTACAAAAATCTTTTCGCCACCAATTTCGTCGCCATAATGACAATGAATATTCCATCGCTAAAATTATATTTCGTCACAATTCTACTAAATTATAGTTACGGCAAATTTTACTATGGACCATGGTCCACACAATTAAATTTATTCAATATACACACAAATATATTACAGTTTCATTTGACAATATACACTCAATATGTGAGACATGTTATTCAGTTTCATTTTATACATACTGCAATTTCATTTCAACACAACTAAATTATCATTTCAATTCAATTACAGTTTCATTTGATAATATAAATACAATATATGAGACAACTTATTCAGTTTCATTTAGTTCTGAAAACACAAAAATATTGGATTTGTTAACATTTAACGGCTACTGTATCTTTACTTAAAGAAGCGGTGCCAAAAGATTAATTAAGATTAAATCGAGAAAAATCACTAAAAACTAAATTGAATATTAATTCGTATAATTCATCATCACGTATGTATCGGTCCGAAGTGCAAATAGTACCCCTAGAGATGAAATGAAGAAAAAGGGACTTTGATCTTTCTTTTTTCCTTGTGTCTTGCCGAAGATTAAAAACCAAAACGAAATAAAAGAATCTTACGAAAACTAAATAAAAGAATATACTCCGTATTATAAAAAGGTAGAGTAGAATTTAAGGGTTAAAGGGGAAGAAGATCATGATTTCTCATGCTTGTTAGTTTCTTCAAACGAGGACGACATAACGTCTACGTAATCTCCAAGACTTAAAAGTTTCTCACTCTTAGTTGGCAATTTGGCATTTTAGTTGTTAGTTTCATGTTAGCTTTGCACATTTATATTACCATATAAAAGTTTCCTAATTATTCTCTTTTTTGTTTGGGTGATTTGCACATTTATCCCTCGATTTTAAATTTTTTTTTTTTAATGTTATTAATGGTCAAGTCAACTTTAGATTTTAAATTTATAATTGCATGCTACATGTCACGAGACACTAAGATGATAATTCATGGCACACTATGATTGGTCATTTATTTATACATGCAATAAGTAATCATATTTTTACTATATTCAAACCGACCAATTTAGTTTGGATGAAATTTAAAATTTTAGTCAATAGAGTAAATGCATTAAATTTAATTTTCACTTCATATGAGATTGTCTCAATTTGCTTACTATATATTAACTAGTGTGTGTATATATATACAACCGCATCACAGTTATTGGTATTAAAAGTAATAATGATGAACGACACCCTTAACTTTAGGTTGTTCAAGAACAAATACTTTTTTTTGAATACTGTTAGGAGCAAGTGTAATTAGATTTTGATGATACCAAACTCACTAAGATTGTAGATCCATATTTTTCCTTTCGTTGATAGGATTTCTGTTACAATCGAAAGTTGTTGTAACTCAACGAATGAATCTTGTTGAGGTTAGCAAAATTGGTCTACCTGAAGACATGAAGATAGGAAGACGGACGAAAGAACGCTGAAGACGAAAGATGTAAGAACATCTTTCGGATGAACAATCCTTTGACTAAGTGAAGCCTTCGTCTAAGAGAGAGGTCGAAAGATAAGGTCAATCTTTCGAAGAACCTCTCTGAGGAAACAGGTCAAGTCAGACAACCTTCATTAAGTGAAGCAATGAGAATGTTGTCTATGCCTCAAAGATGGGCAATCATTCGGAACAAAAGGTGTCCTAGGAATGATTTTCACAAAAGACAAGGAGCATTAAAAGACTTGTACCATCTTGTCAGAGATCAAAGACAAAATTCATGATGCTTTTGGCTCCAACGGTTACACAGTACATGTGCATTAAATGCTCAGTGCCCACTAGTCTTTACACACTGGTTATTAGGTTTGAAATCTTCATATCCCTCCAACAGATGAATTTTTCCTTCCTATAAATACATGTCTTCACCATTGAAGAAGGTGCTGGTTATTCAACTCTTGCTATCCAAAGAAAAGCTCTCCAAACAGTTGCATCTCTTAAAGCTTTTCATAACCAGTGTTTTTGTGAAGTTTTAAAAAGGCTCATTCATCTTCCGTACTTCACAATTTGAAGAAGTCTTGCATATTTTCAAGTGAAGATTCATCCATATATCAAGACAAGGCTTCAACCTGTTGGAGAAACACAACATTATCTTTCCAACATCTCAACTCTTAGGAAGAAGTTGATAGAGGCGGAGTAAACTCGAGGAGTTGAAAAACCTATCAAGTGGCTGTCCAGCTTAGTGATCAAGGAAGCCAGCTTGAAGTAGTTTGTACTAGGAGTGATAGTGCAAACCCTTTCACGAGTTGTGAAAGAAGAGTGGAGTTGGCTTAGTTAATAGCCGAACCACTATAAAAATCTTTCTCTCTCCATATCTCTTTAAATACTGCACTTTATCTTTCGTGCATTGCATGTCATTTCGACTAAACAGTAATAGCTTCTAACGAAAGTGTGCAAAGTAAAACTAAAAGACGAAACCTTTTTCCGCTATGCATCACTTCGAAAGGAGTAACTTTGAAAAATTGATTAGAGTCTATTCACCCCCCGGCCCTCTAGACTCTCTTTCGACCCTACCGGGACCAACAAGTGGTATCGGAGCGGTTACCTTGTCACTACAAGAAAAATCACGATTCGCGACGGAAAAAATCCGTCGCGAAAACGTGAAATTCCGTCGCAAATCACGTTTTGCGACAGAATTTGTCATTTTTGCGACGGAATCCATTCCGTAGTCTCAAGGCTTGTCGTATTTCAATTCGTGATGGAAATAATCCGTCGCGAACGATGGCGACGGAAAATAGTGACGGAATTGTTCGTCGTGAAGTAGGCGACGTAAGTCATTTCGTCGCTAGTCCGTCGCGATTTTGGCAACGGAAATGTTTCTTTCTGTCGCCATTGCGTGATAAAATAATCCGTCGCAAAACTCATATTCTGTTGCATATTTTTGTTGTGAAAGATAACGACGGAAATAATTATTGTCGCGAATCCGTCGCTAACATTTCCGTTGCAAAATTTTTTTTTTCCGTCATAAAATTTCGTCGTAGAAAAATGACGAAACAAATTGTCGTCGCTATTCCGTCGCAAACTTTTCCGTTGCAAATTTTGTCTTCCGTCGCACAAATTCGTCGTAAGAAAACGACAGAACAAATTTCTGTAGCAATTCCATCGCTATATTTTCCGTCGCAAAATTTATTTTCCGTTACAAAATTTCGTCGTAAAATAATAACATAACTAATCACTGTCGTGATTTCGTCGCGTTTTGGATGACAAAAATCTTTTCGTCGCCATAATTACAATAAATATTCCATCGCTAAAATTATATTTCATCGCAATTTTGCTAAATTATTATTTTAATATTTTGTAATTATTATTATTTTGTTAAAATTCTAATATTTGTATTTAAAATGTTAATGTCCAAACTAAAAATACAATATAATATGTTGTACCCAAATACCAAATAAATGTATAAACAGCAATATAGTAATTCATAAAAGAAAAATTAAATCAAGGTGAATTCGGTCGTGATGAGGGTGATGATGAAGTACCAGCTCTCTCACTCTGAAGAGCATTTAATTTTTGCTGCATAAGAACCATAGAAGCCTTCAAATTCTCAATCTCATCGAGGACCTTAGCAGAATTAGCATTCTCTGATGGCTGCGAGGTTGATTCTATATTGTCCGATGTGTTAGCATTTATTGGAGTACGAATGAATGTACCATATGAGCCAAGTCCATAAACTCT